TGCGTAACAATCTATACTGACACTTATTTTTTCCAGTAAAACTCTTATTAGCATAGTTTTAAACCACACAGAATTTAGCAAACAATTTTAATTAACACCTTCAAGAAACCATAAGTAATTAACGATTTCAAAATGCATAGCTCTTCTGCGTCTCCAGCGTACTGTTTTCGAAAATATCTCTCGAAAATGTCCCATCCCGTGAGGTTGAATGGGGTTGGCAAAATGCTAATCCCGAATTCTTCAATCCCTCATGCAGAGTTAATAAAAACAAACGAGGCTCTAATTCCAACAAGTTTTTTTGTAAGGTGGTCGTTCTTTTAGAATTATGCAGAAATAATGGTACAAATACATATTCTTTGGTATTACCAGGAATATCAAAGCATTCGAAGAAAACGGCGATTGCGCCTGAACCGTATTTATCCTATTTTCCTCCAAAAAATGCGGAAAATTGTTCTCACAGCTTGACAGAACTGCATCTGGCGTGTGGCAGTAATCCAGTGGCAAGTGTTATTTCTTACCATTATAATAATTTTATTAAAATCATTTTACTAGTTTCGTAATTCCTCACCTTCTTCTTTAATTCTTATTTCAACCACTGTTAATATACTTTTCTATTATTAAAATGAGATAACCAAATCGATTCCCCAGGTGGTCTTGGTATTCTTGATATTCTACGATTATGCCAAATGCTTTTCTCTTCTCCTAGTGAAACGTAAGACGCCTGTGAAGTTAAAAAAACCTTATCCCTTTAGCGTTTCAAGTACATCCAACAACACAGGACTTGGAAGAGGTTAACAGTTACGTCTATCCAGGAAAGGAAGTAAATGTGCGCCACATTCTCGCACGTCGGAGGGCTTCCGATTGGTGTAAATTCCACAGCACCGCCGATGTTATTACAAATTGTTAGAAAAAATACAGATTACCAAAAAAGTAATCTCGACAATCGTTTAAGCAATATTTGTGTCCACTTCGGAACTCTGTATGCTTCCTTCTAATCCAAGTAGCTTCTCGTCCATGAATTTTCTGATTTGTCGCATACACAGCAGTGACTGCTCCAGCGGAAATGATGCCAAATCTTCGGCAAGACCGTTCACTTAAAAAAAATTTTTTATCATAAATAAAAATAAACTCTCAAAAAAATTTATCTAGGCAAAATGTGGAATATATATATACATGTATATATATGTGTATATGTATATATATGTGTATTTATTTTTTTAATCCTATTTGTTCAGTTATTTAGAGCGCAAACAAAAATCCGCATAAGGTGCAAGTGAAGTAAGATCCAGCAACACAGCCTCCGAGCCTCCAGTTAAGTTCATAGGCGGATCCAGGGTGGCTTCCCGGGGAGAGGGGAAGCA